TCTAGTCAAGGCTATGGTTTTTCCAGTAGTCATGTATGGATGTGAGAGTTGGACTATAAAGAAAGCTGAGCACCAAAGAATTGATGCTTTTGAACTGTGGTGTTGGAGGAGACTCTTGAGAATCCCTTGGACTGCAAGAAGATCCAACCAGTCCATCCTAAAGGAAATCAGTCCTGAATGTTCATTGGAAGGACTGATGTTGAAGCTGAAACTCCAATACTTTGGCCACCTGATGCAAAGAGCTGGCTCATTGGAAAAGACCCTGATGCTGGGAAAGATTGAAGGCGGGAAGAGAAAGGGATGGCAGAGGATGAGATGGTTGGATGGCATCACTGACTCAATGGAAATGAGTCTGAGTAAACTTCGGGAGTTGATGATGGACAGGGAGGCCTGGCACGCTGCAGTCATGGGGTAGCAAAGAATTGGACACGACTGAGCGACTGAACTGAACTGAACGGGAGAACAAGAGCCTGGGGCTGCCAGATTTTCTGGTTTTTCAAAAACGTCTAGAAGAATAGAAATTTTGAGGCATTAGGCTTTTTCGCAACATTGTGTAGGGAATTGAGTTTTTATGAGTTTCTGACCTGTTCTAAGCCTTCGTTTGGGAGACCGTGTACTGACGGTTCTGTCTTCCCCCTTGCAACTCCTGCCGGACCCCAGACTATGGCAAAAGGCAGGGCCACTAAGAGTATAACAGGGGTGGGCTAATCATTTCCCTTTGGCTTCTAGGTTCCTGGGCCACCAGGGCCAGAGGGGCCTCCTGGACCTCCGGTAAGTTTAGAGGGCTCGTCTGTGTTTCAGTCCACTGTGACTAGGCCCCTGACGCCCCCTCTCCGTGGCAGTCACTGGGCTTCGCCGCAGCCTTAGGTCAGCTATCATCTATTTCCACGGAGGGATTTTCACATCCACACGCCCCCATGCTCCTCCTCCCTCCCACCTTAAACAGGCAGCATCTTTGTGACACCAAGGAGCCTGGGCGTTGCCTTGTTTCCTGGCAAGAGTTGACAGGCTTGACAGCCCCTAGGTCTGGTCATGGGGTGTGGTCCTTCCTCACAAAAGTCAGGGTCACTCTGTTCCTTTGCTATCAGACTTCTGTTCTTCTCTTTCTTCTATTCTGACTAACCAGCCAGCAGGGTTAAAATAGAAAGTGACTGGTTTAAAACTGACTCCACTAGGTTGGCCCTTCCATATTTACAGGTGATAAGGCACCTTTAAAGGGACCCCTCTGCATTATACCTAGAGGATCCCTAAGCCTCCCCCCAGACCAATAGATGCTGGTCCCTGTCTCTGTGGGGTTCACAGTCCCCATGAGGATGGGTCACCTCATTGCCACTGGTACAAGTAGTAGCAGTAGCAATAATGGCAGTCGCCAACATTTATTTAAACTTGCTATGTGCCTAATACTATGCTAAGCACATTGCACATATCAATTTATTTCACTTTTGCTGGGTTCTCTCTGAATCTTCCTTTCATGACACTGAGTATTCTCTCATGAGTCAGCTGTGGGGGCCACAGAGAGATTCTCAGTTAGTATCTGGCTGGGGAAGGCTGGCTCAGGCCTCACTCCAGAAAGCCCCAGCAGACCCCCTTTAGCATTCCCTTCTATCTACCCCAGGCGGGGATCCCAGCCCAGGCTCTATACCCTAAGCCCTTGCCCTTTTGCGGTCCAACTTGTGGACAATGAGAGTGACTTAACCAGAAATGCAGTTCTGAGGTGCCTTGTTTTGATTCCACATGCAGGGGCTCCAAGGCGTTCCTGGACCAAAGGTAAGAGATCACGTGGCAGGTGTTGGGTGAGGGGGTGGAGGAAGGAGCCCTGTCGGTGAGGACAGAAAAGAGAGAAAGTGCTTCAGAGGCAGACCAGCTGATCCCTTCCCTAGACGGAATTATGTGACACATTAGACAGTGGGGTAGAATTAGGACAGAATAAAGTCCTGTGGTCCCATTAGTATCCATCACTGATGCTGGACAGGCTTTGGATTTAGAATTTTCCCATCCATCAATTGACCCTACAGAATGACAGGTTAGATTCTTAGCAAATGATTAGATCCTTTTTCCATGTAACCTACCCCAGACCCTTCACTCACCCTGAAGTATAGGTGGGAGATAGAGGTTGGCAGCGCATGGGACCCCTTCCTGGGGCCAAGCCCACTGGACTCTGGCCTGGGATTCTCCCAACCCCCTCCCTCAACATCTCAAATGGATACAAGAGGCTGCAAGCCGCTGGCATGGGGAAGCCTGTGTCTCCTGCACTGACATTCTCCGGGGGACAGTTTCTTTCCCTGATTAGTTTGGGAGACTCAGAGATGCAGTGGTGGCATTTCAGGTATTTGCCAGCCAGGATCCCCAGCATCCCAGTTTTTCTGCTATGCAAATGGTCATCTATGCCAGTGCCTGACCTGGAACTGATGGGGGTTTGTCTCCTCTCTTGCCATCCCCTTTCCCTTTGGGGACCTCAGAGTTACTACTGAGACACAAGGGACTCTAACATGAGCGGAGCCCGGCTAAGAATTCAGTGATTCCTGGAGTCCCCACCCAGCCACCCCTGGATGAGCCACCTCCTCCTCCTCCCTCCTCTGTCTGCCCCCTTCCCCACCACCCACCCCTGTCTCCAGGACCCCAGAGTGCAAGGGTGAGTTGTCTGGGCCATGCTCTTCTGTGATCTCGCCCATCTCCCTTCCCTACAGGGGGAAGCAGGACTAGACGGAGCAAAAGGAGAAAAGGGCGTCCAGGGAGAAAAAGGAGACCGAGGTCCTCTGGGATTACCCGTAAGTATCTCGGACCCTGCACACTGGTGTGAGGAGCCCAGCCTGGTGGTCCTGAGGAGGTGCTGAGCAGGCCCCCAGGAAGGACCACTGGAAAACTCAAAGTTCAATAAGTTGTGAGCTCCCCAGAACTCCGTGGGGCTTTGCTTTCCCACCTGGGCTAGACCGTGGGCGCGAACTCTTGCTGAGGGCCTCCTCTGGGCTGGCCCTGGCCTAGGTTCTGGAGGAATGTGGATTTGAATAAGTCCCCACCCCCACCCCAAGGAGTACCCAGCTGGAGAACCAGAGGAGGCCCAAGATGAGCCTTATTGTGCTCAGTCCTAATTGTGCTCGTTTGAGGCAATAAAAATCTCCCTTTATTGGGGCCGAGCTTAGAGGACTTGAGAGCGCTGGGACAGTAGAGTGTTCTCTCTCTCTCTCCTGCTTTCCTAGGCAGACTCCAGGAGAGCCCCTGCTCTCTGCTCTTAAGCACTGGCCACAGCAAAAAGCTTGCAAAAAGTCAGATCTTCCTGTCCCAGCAGGCTAAGGCCACTCACGTCTCGGTTCCCTGGATCTCTGATCTCAGCTAAAGGCCCCAGGTCAGGGTGGGGGCTGCTTGGCAGGCCTCTGCATCTCCAGATGTGGGGCCTGGGCTCAGTGAATTCCTGCGCCTCAAGCTCCAGTGGGAACCCCGCTGGCCTGGTCACTGCCTCACCTGTCTCCAGGGAAACGCATGTCACCGCCCTCCCCAGAGCCCTGGGCTCCACCCTCCCTCACACCCCAGTGAGGATGGCTCGCTTTGTTTGTTTTTCAAGATATGGAAGGAAACTTTAGGATTCCCTGCAATCATTTTATTAACGGGTCAGGAGAAAAAAGTGAGTCACTTGAATTCACAGATGAAGTCAATGGCCCAGCTGGGCCAGAAGCTGAGCCTCCACTGAGGCCACAGCCTTGCAAAGAGAGCTTTTCCCAGCTACTGGGGCTTCCTCAGTCCCGAGCACAAGGCCAGCTCCCACGCTAGGAAACCGTAAAAAAGCAGGGGAATGATAGGAAGCCCAGTTGCCCCAGCTTGGCAGGGCTAGAAGGTCTGGTTAATGTAATCACAGCGACCAAGCAGCAAGAGCAAAAGGTATGATTACACCTCATTATTGCATCAAATGTGGGAATAGTTAAGGAGCTGATTTCGCCTGACAGACTACAGTAACTGATGACTTTAGCAGACACTTTTCCCGTGTCTTAAGCTGTATCCGGAATGATTAAGTGTTTTTTACTGTTAGAGAGCCTTCCAGTCCCCCACTCAACCACAAACCTCTCCTTGTTCACCTTCATGGCCCCCACGACCCTAGTAAACATTGGGGAATTCAGTCAGAGGTTGACATGAAGACCAAACAGGTAATGTAAACAAAGAAAGCACCAGACGAAAGACAAAGTATCCAACTGTCTTTAATTTTTCAGCTTTTGATAGAGACAAGGGAATAGAGAAGTACTTTTGCTGGCTTAGGAAAGCAACAGAGCAAACAATATTCATAAAAGACAACTAACGTGGACTTCAGAGGGACAATACGGAGTAGTGGGGACTGTGGTTCACTGGAGACCGTGTGTCTCTTCTTATAGATCCCAGTCCCTGCTCAGTTCAGTTGACTTGTCTTAGGGGAGTGAGGGTCCAGTATTTCTGCACACTCTAACTTTTCTAAGGAAGCTAGACATCTGGCATTTGATGGACTATCTCATTTTCTAATATTAAGTCAAAATTATTTGCAATACTACAACCCATATAAAATATGTTAGTGGTCCACATACGGCCCCAAAACCTCCAGTTCATGCCCTCTGGTCCAGACCGCTCAAGATAACTCGGTATTAATACTCTATAGACAGATTTCCCTGGTCTTACAGTGGATAAGAATCCGCCTGCCAGTGCAAGGGACACAGGTTCAATCCCTGGTCTCATAAGCTTCCACATGCCTTAGAGCATGTACCACAACTATTGAGCCTGTGCTCTGGAGCTTGGGAACTGCAACTGCTGAGCCCATATGCCTCGACTACTGAAGCCTGTGAGCCTAGACCCCAAGCTCTTCAACAAGAAGCCACCACAATGAGAAGCCCATGCACCGTATTCTTCATTCTACATAATGAAGAATAGCCCCTGCTCACCACAACTAGAGAAAGCCCACATGCAGCAAAAAATAATAAATAAATAAATTATGTGTATATATATATTCATATTAAAATACTGCCTAGACAAAGTATATGGATGTTTAGCTCAAGTTCTATTTTTAGGCTTCACCTCAGTGTTTCCATTCATACAGCAGCAACCTGCGTTTCCAGGCACATCCTACCGAGTTCTTCCTATTTACCCTGCAGAAGAGATTCTCTATGCGGGCTGTACACTGGAATCTCTTGGCGTTTTCAAGTGTGCTATTTCCCAGGACTCCCTCTTGGAGACTCTGTTTGAGTTGGGCTGGGGTGGGCCCAGGCATCTGTATTATTTAACATCACCCCCAGGAGATTCTGACATGGTAGCTGGGGTTGAGAACCACAACTTTCTAGGCCATACGGAAGATCAGTCCCAGGATTATGTGGTCCTAGGACTGAGAAGCAAGGCCCTGTGAAAAAGTGAAAGTGTTAGTTGCTCAGTCATGTCTGACTCTTTGTGACCCCATGGACTGTATAGCCCACCAGGCTCCTCTGTCCATGGAATTCTTCAGGCAAGAATGCTGGAGTGGGTAGCCATTCCCTTCTCCAGGGGATCTTCCCGACCCAGGGATTGAACCTGGTATCCCACTCTGCAGGCAGATTCTTTACCATCTGAGCCACCAGGGGAGCCCCCTGACTAAGAAGCCACACCCTGAGGGATCCTACTACCTGATATCCTTCCCCCAGGATGAAACAGCTCCCTTCCTCCCTCTTTCCTGGGGGTATTCCCCCACCTTTAAAATCCTGAGGCCTAGGCTCATTTCTGAGGCTCAGTTGGAAGCCACTTTCCAGAACTCAGTCTTCACTAGCCTAGAGTGTCCTAGCTACTCTCTCCCTGGTTGTCGTGTCAGCATCATCAGCTCTCCTAGGTGGGCTGAAGGAGCAGCATCATAGCCCAGAACAGGGGCAAGAGCTCTAATTCCCACTGTACTATCACTGGATGCTGCCTAGTGAGTGGGTCTTAATAGCATCCTGACTGCCAGCCAGTTTATTCCAAGGAGCAAATGGCCTTAGACCTCTGTCCTAGGAGCAGTCAGCTGCTTCTAAAGCCTTTTTCTATAAAAGAGGCCCTGTCTGGGATAACATGAATGGGCTGAGTTTGTGTTAAGCTTTGCCAACTGTAAAGTGCCAGAGAAATGTTAGGCAACGTGAATATTATCATTCAAGGCCCAACTCCTCCTACCTAGCTGAAGCTGAAGTAGGCCAGCATCTACTGGATGTTGTAATTCAATGTTGAGTCTCTTGAGGTCCTCCAGTGTGGACTCACATCAACAGGTATGCAGAGGAGGCTGGGAAGACCGTCCTTACCTGGGCCTCACCTGCCACATCTTCCCCCAAGTAAGACTGGTCGTAAAGGATGCACTAGCTCTGGTTCAGATGCCTCTCCATAAGTTTACTTTCTGTATCTCTTTCCCTGGAGCACTGCAACCTCCTGGGAGAGAGGTTTCTGAGAGAGGATGAAAGGAGAGAGGGGAGCAGGGGGCACAGAGGATGGGGATGGCCATCGGCACTGATCTCCATCCAGCTTGCTCAGCAGTTGGCCACACTGCACTCAGTGTCTCCATGTTTTTGTTGGTTTTCGTGTGAATACATTACCTGTCCTCCCAAGCTTATTTCTCCCATTTTGTTTGATGACCAGCATTTATGTCTGTCCAGAGTCACTGCTTCACTCACCTCTCCCCTCCCTGGCCCCTTTTTCTCCCTCCCATTCCTCCCTTCCCCTTCTTCTGGTCAAACTGTTCCCTTTGTCCAGGGAGCTTCAGGTTTGGACGGCAGGCCTGGGCCACCGGTGAGTGTCACTTCTCCATTACCCCTCCACCCACCCCACCCCACCCCACTCCTGGCCTATAAGCCCTTTCATCTGTCCTGCTGTGGCCTCGTTTTTTTCCGTAAATCATGGCTTATCCCACCACCGACACCAGAAAGTGCAATCTGTGCTCGGTTCAGAAGTGCTTATTCAGGCCTCTTGACCAAAGACAATAGGCCTTCATCTCCATTTCCCTGTTCATAGTATGCACACAGGGTCCTCAAATCTGAGTTTCAAGACCACTGGATGTGGGGTGGGAGGCTGCTCCAGTAGCAAAGAATCTGTTCCTAAAGGAATGCTGAGTTCAGCCTGGGACTCAAGCCCTGGGGGTTTGGGCCATGACTTACCCCCACCAAACACAACGGTGTCTGTGTGTGCCCGTCATGCTGTGCTGTCTTCATACTGTGAGCTCTGTCCATCTCCTGTCTGCCCACAAGGGCTTTCTAGTCCTGTGCAGCCACCAGTCTGGTATGTATGTGGGTGAGGCCAGCACTGATGGGTGAGGGCGGGTGTTGCATAGAGGAGCACATAGGCAAGTCCAAGCTTAGTGTTCAGAGAGCATTTTACATCCACACCTTTCACCACATCTGCACCTAGCACACCTTTCCCAGGTGGCCAGTCTGAGCTAGAGGGATTATCTGTGGCTGAAATCAGAGAAACCATGATTTCCTCTCAACTACTTATTCTATTCATATTGGACAGAGGGGAGCAGTGCATATGTATACATTTATATTTTCTGTCCCCTTTGAACCTGAAGGTTTTTTTCTCATCAAATCAATAACAGAAAGTTAAAGGAAAATGTTTATTTGCCAATACTAACATTTATTGGGCACTTCCTAGGTGTCAGGCCCAGAACCAAATGCATGCCATGTTTTCATCCATTCTAACCTTGCAGCAGGCTGGGAGGCAGACACTCCTGTTCTCATTCCCATTTTACAGGTGGGAAAACAGATCCTTAGGGAAACCAAGAAACTTCTCCAATATCAGTTTATAGGCCTTCGAGGAAGGAGTTGAAGCTGACCAGTGACTTCAGAGTGCTATTCTGACACTCTGTCACAGACGTCCACAGCTTCTCCTCCTCCCTCAAAGGGGCCACCACCAACATCTTATGGCTCTTTTTTTTTTTCCACATAAAGTAAATCAGCCTTTCCTCACTTGCTCCCCCCCTACCCCCACCACCTGTCACAGCTACATCCCAGCACCACCGGGAACCGCCCATAGGCCCAGGCCCAGTCCTCATGTCCTGAGCAAGAAATACAATCACTGAGGCTGAGCAATAGGAAGCTCTGAATTATAGGTTTCACCTAGCAGGGCTGTAAGTTAGGAACCTGGAGAAGATGTTTAATTATGCCCTAGCAAGCCCCACTCTGTTTCTAAGCAACACAGCTCCAATCCCTCCAGCTGCCCCATGGGGCTGCAGCCCTGAGTCAGGGGCACGTAGGGCACACCTCCACGGCAGGCCAGCGTCAGCAGACATCCACTAATCTCTCCAATCCAGCCTGTCCCTCAGGGCCTGGGATGGAGACAGAAGGCCCGGCCTGAGGCTGAAGGCCAGGGCCCGCAGTGGGGGCGGGGTGGGGGTGGACGATGGCTGAATGACCCTCCCACGCCTGCCTCTGTGTGTGCGTCTGCATTGGTCTCTGTGGCATGAAGACCCTCCTGCTGCATGTGGAGCTGTGTCGGCAAAGGGGTTCCAGCCCCCAGCCTCCTCACCCCTGGGATGGTGTCAACTCCCTCCCGAGCGCTTCTGGGAGCAAACTAAGCAACCGTTCTCCTGCTGTTTTCAGCCTTGGCAAGCTTGGTTGTGAAGCGAAAGGGTTTCCTTCCTCAAATCTGGCTCTGAGGCAGGGGGGAGAGCTTTCTCCCCGAGGCCCCCAAAACCAAACAGGAACGCGGCCCAGTCCAGTGACCGCTCTGCACGAGCCGGGCCTCGCCAACCCTGAAAACTGGGCCTCTGGACCTTGCTCATCTCCAGGCGTCGGGCGGGGATCCCCGGCTCCTCTCGGCGTCAGGTCCCTCACCTCCACGTTCTCTCACCTCCCCAGGGTACTCCAGGACCAATCGGAGTTCCAGGCCCAGCGGGACCAAAAGGAGAGAGGGTGAGTGCCCAGCGAGCCGGGAGCCTCGACCACCAGAACCAGGGGCCCCTCTGCCCCTCCTCTGCCTCGGGTCCTCAGTCCTGGTTCCTGCAACCCACAGGGCCACCGTGTCAGCCCAGCCATCTCAGCCCCCATCTGTTCCTCCTAGACCCCACCAGCGCCTCATGCACGTCTTCTCTTGAAGATCCTCCCAGCCTGTGGGGTGCAGCAAGCCTGGGGTGCTCATTTTTTTCCTGGCTGTGCCACTCAGCCTGTGGGGTCTTAGTTTCCCAACCAGGGATCAAACCCATGCCCTCTACAGTAGAAGCTCTGAGTCCTAACTACTGCCCTGCCAGGGAAGGCCCATGGGTGCTCATTTTGTAACTACAAGTGGACAGAGACTTGGAGAGCCTCCTCCCTTCAGTTTCTGGTCACCTGGCTTCGGTCACAGGTAACTGGCAAGGCCCCAGACCCTGCTGTCACCGGACACGCCTGACCTCTGTAGTGATTTAGGGAAACAGCACGGAACGTAGTACCAGGTGGGGTTAGAAATCCTGGAGACGTCAAGAAGCCAGGAGACCCGTGCATCAGACCAGCTCTCGTGGGTCACTCTCCCCCATCTAGTGCGGTGGGCTTGTTCAGGGGTTGGAGGAGGAAAGCTCCCCACTCCAGCTCCTCCCAGCCAGGCCTGGTTTCCACACTCTCAGGGCCTGGCATCACTGCAGGGCTGGCACGGGCACTGGAGCCCTGAGTGGGCATCTGCGGGGCTCTCTGCCTGTAAGAGCAGTTAGCCCATCCTGCTGACTCTGCCCATGGGAGAGGCTCTTGTCTCTTTAGCTCTCAGACCACACAACTGGGGGGCAGCGGGGAGGGAGCTTCAGGAGAGAGATGTGGGCTCTGCAGTCATTTGGGGAGCCAGGGTGGCTGCTCTGAGGGTGACACCTGCAGCTTCAGAGAGAAAGCGGAGCTCTCTTTCTCTCCCCGTTGCCCCCTCCTTCTCTCTCCCTATCTCCCGTTCCATGCCCATGTCCTGCTCCTTGGTCTCCTCCCCTGCGGCTCCCCCCGGCCAGCCGGTACCCCCGCCGCAACAAACACACACTGTCCACGGAGGCCAGGATCTGTGGAAGAAGGCTGAGAGGCGCTCCCAAGCCCCCTCCTCAGGGCACGTAGTCCATGCAGTCACCCCACCCTCCACCCAGCCCTTACTTCCTGGGAGCCTCTTTGAAGAGACTGGAGAGGTTGCCCAGGTTTCGTATGAAAACAGAGAATGGCTGTCGGAAGGTTGTTACCCCGTCAGGGAAGGTTCATGTGTTCTTCCTCTGGTTTCAGGGCAGCAAAGGCGACCCTGGGATGACAGGACCAACAGGAGCAGCTGGGCTTCCTGTAAGTCTCGTGGGATCAGAGGCTCCACCCGCCCGGGTCCCCCACCACAGAGGCACTGTCAAAACAGAATATCCAGGGCCTGGAGCAAAAAATCTAGGGCCAAGCGAGGAGAATTCTCATCTCTGTGACAGACGAAGCAGCCAGCTGCCGCCAACCCAGTCTCTAGAACTCCCCTGCTGGTCTCTGCTCCAGGCAAACCCTGGGGCACATGGCCCCTGATGGGGAACCAGGTCCTCAGCGGTGCCGACCATCTGACTCACATGGCTGAGCCCCTTCCCTGGAGGCCTCTGTGTTCGATGCAGTGAGGGTCTCACAGGTGACTGTGCCGTGGCCCCTGCCCTCACGGAGGGACAGAGCCATGTCCAGATCACTAGACGGCCGGGAGACGTCTCCCAAGACAGGCAGCTTCCCAGGGGGCTGGCTTCCCATTTGCAACGGACTTCTCTTTGCTGAGTTATAGAAGTCAGCTGCCTGCGAGAGGCAGGACTTTGGTTTCCCACCCACTTGAAGGTCGTACACTGATTGGGCTCCATGCTCGGCAGTGCTTCAGCACCTCCAGCCAGTCTTTGCTTTACATCCCTCCCCAGCGGAAGACAAGGGGGAAAAGAATTGAAAGCAGAGTCTTGTAGAGAGGTTTAGTCACAGCAGCATCATTTGCAATAACTAAAAATGTGAAGCAACCAAAGTGTCCGTAGATACATGAATGAATAATCAAAATGTGGTATATATGTGCAATGGCATGTTTTCCAGTCTTAGGAAGGAAACTCTGACATGCTACACTACAGTGAACCTTGGGGACATTTAAGTGAGATAAGCCAGTCACAGAAAGACAAATACTGTATGACTTCCCTTATATGAGGTATTTATAGTAGTCAAAACCATAGTGACAGAAAGTAGAACACTGAGTGAAAGGTGGAATGAGTAGTTACTGTCTAATGATAGAGCTTTAGTTTTGCAAGGTAAAAAGAGTTTTGAAGATGGAAAGTAGTGGTAGTTACACAAAAATATGAGTGTACTTAATACCACTGAACTGAATGCTGAAAAATGGTTAAGAAGGCAAATTTTGTGTATGTTGTACTGTGTGCTAAGTCGCTTCAGTCATGTCCAACTCTGTGCGACCCCATGGACTGTAGTGCGCCAGGCTCCTCTGTCCATGGGATTCTCCAGGCATGAACACTGGAGTGGGCTGCCATGCCGTCCTCCAGGGGATCTTCCCGACCCAGGGATCGAACCCACATCTCTTCTTCTCCTGCATTGAAAGCTAGGTTATTTAACAGTAGTGCCATATTTTACCACCATTTAAAAAATTGAAGGAAAAATAATAAAGAGAGCAGCTTGCACCTTGAAAAGAGGGGCTCGGGAACTTTGGAGTCATTTTTTCAGCAAGAGGCAGGTGGGATCTAGGAACTCAAATCTGGTCGGTACTCTGACAACCCAGAGGGATGGGATGGGGTGGGAAGTGGGAGGGAGGTTCAAGAGGGAGAGGACATATGTATACCCATGGCTGATTCATACTGATGGATGGCAGAAACCAACACAATTATAGTAAAGTAATTATCCTCGAATTTAAAAAAAAAGGCAGGCGGGAAAGCCATGTAAACACCTGCCTATCTGGGAGCGGTCTTTGCTCCCAGATCACGTACCTGGCATGCGCCATCTAGAAGAACCTGACCCCAGGCCAGGGTGTTGGCTATAGAGTGAGAAAACCAGAAATTGTGTTTGACTTTACCCATAACTCATTATCTGTCTCTAGGTCAAGTTCCTTGAGCAGGTGTTCTCCTTTGTCCCCCTTCTATAAAATGGGGCTCATGAAACCTGTCTCTGATGAATTAGGCACCAGTAAAGAGCTTTATGAGCCTGGAAGGAAGGACTGTATGGCCATCCTGTGTTTTCTCCTTAATGTGTCTTTGTTTCTCGGATTTATTGCAGGGTTTACATGGACCACCCGGGGACAAAGGAAACCGGGTGAGTCTGAGTCCTCACACTTTGGCTCTGATTACTAATGTCTTCATGGCGAGGTGGAATGACCAACTGGGGATTCCTGACTCAACGTGGAAATACAGTTTTTCCTGATAAATCATTCTAAATTAAAAGACTTTCTAGTGAGGGTATCTTAATCCGTGGTGCTCAGGGAGCCTAGGGACCTAGTCCTGAAATTGAAGCACGTATTTTTCCATGAGGAATGGGGAGGCTGAGTCCCAGGGTGGCTATCAGATTAGCATTGCCATCCAGTGACAGGAGTCACGAGCCCAGCTCTCTCTAGGTTGCCCTGATAATGGGCCCCTAAACGAGATTTTTACATCCATCATTGCCGAGTCCTAGTCTTCTGACACTTAGTTTTACCAGGCATCCCAGGTCACTGGTGAGAGAGAAAATAAATCCCAGCTCCAAAAACAAGCAGACAACTGTTGTACGCAGCCAAGCCTTTAAAAAGGATCCCAGCCATTGTTTCTCTTGGAAAGAGTCAGCAGGATTATGAAATGTGTCATGGCTTTCAAGGACCCTGCTCCTCCTTTGATTTCTGCCGTCTTCACCAGGACACAGTTCTGAGTGTCCATGGCACCCACGGCCACCTGATGGCCACATGGCACATTGGTGCCCAGCAGCAGTCATTCACGACATCTAACCAAGGGCTGGTCTTTGGCTTCCTTTCTAGAATGTCTTGTTGCCTTCCTCATCATGGAGGTTCTCAGTGGTGTGCACATCCCCAAGAAGGCCAAGAGCATCTTCTAGTGGGAATAATATTCAAGGATCTTAGAGGTAGAAGAGTGGGAAGAACAGAAGGAGAAACAATGCTCCAAACTATAATAACATGTTCTGAGTCCCCACGAGAGTTAGACACAGAGCAGGGGACTTGCAGAAGCGCGGTCTTCTGGCTGATCTTTGAACACTGATAACAGAGCGTTCATGAATAGAACATGCAAGAATCTCTACATTTGTATCTGGCATCAGTGCCAGTCTCTTCCATTTAAGATGGATTTACTGAACAGTTCCATATTCCTAAAGTTTCCTTTCTGGCAGCTGGTCAGCTGGTCAGGAAGAATCCATTTGTCCCATATATTCTATGAACAGGAAAGGAAAGGCAAAGCTACCCCTATCAGACTGTCCATGAAAAGCCCATTGTTGCTTCATTGTTGCTTGTGGAGATGAAGCTGGAGATGTTCAAAGCCCCTCATGCCCACTGGCTATGGAAGGGGGCTCCTAAACTTTGCCACATCACACCTGGAGCACCCCATCAGAGAGGCTCGGAATAAACCACTGGAATAAACAGACCTACTTCCAGAAATGCGCCAGCCAGTTAAGGTGGCCTGGAAAGCCCACCTCCGACACTGGCATCCGAGAGTTCAGGCCACTAAAATAATTGATCATTCCACCTCTCAGTTGGCATACTAACCTCCTTTCTAATTTATTTCTGCAGTGTTCTGTTTTTCTTTGTTATGTTCAATCAATACTTGTTAAGCCTCTTTCTTAAGACTTTTTCAGTTGGCTTGAGGCACTGGGCCATTTCAAGGCTACAAAACCAATCCTTCCAGTGGTGGTGACTGTGTTGCTCTAGAAGCAGAAGCGAGGCAAGAAAATGCCCTTGTCAGGACTTCCCTGGCAGTCCACTGGTCAAAACTCTGCCCTTCCAATGCAGGGAGCATGAGTCGGGGAGCTAAGATCCCACACACTGCACAGTGCAGCCAATAAAGAAATAAAATATTTCAATGCCCTTGTCACAGATAGAGAGAAGGTGGGAGGCTGGTGGCTCTGATGCTTAAAGAACTGAGGTCATTGAATGAGCCACTGAGGCCCCATAATTCAGTGGGAAAATATTTCTTCTCCAGTTCCTATTCTAAGGTTTTATACACTTCTCCCCTGTCCCACATATAAATTAGCAATATGTCACTTAGTAAAAATCAAGTTCAGAAAACAGACAAGTTACATGAACCTTCCTTGGAGTGCCTCATAAAAAACCAGTAGACTTCTTCCAAAGGGCAGGTTTCCAAATCAAGGACCAGCTTATTCTTCCATCCAAGAGATCTGACTCTCAGGATGCCAAAATGTCCCAGGAGAGTACCCCTAACAGCTCACCTCCTCTTTCAGACCTCTTTATACCGCTGGCCCTAATGGAACTTTTGAGGGGAGAGATGAGGGCTTGGTGATAAAAGCCTCCAAAATGAAGAAAGTTCCAAGCAGAGTCAGCTCTGTGTCATGACCAGTTTTTTCTGGCACTTTGGTCCAGGGAAAAGGCCAGAAGTGCTTAGATGATGTTCAGGTTGGAAGTTTCATTGTTGCTTGTGGAGGTGAAGCTAGAGATGTTCAGAGCCCTTCATGCCTACTGGCTATGGAAGGGGCTCCCAAACTTTGCCTCACATCACACCTGGGGCACTCCATCAGAGAGGCTCGGATCGGTGCCCCAGGTCTGTTATCCTATCTCCGAGTGACCCAAGACACAGCCTTAAGACCATGCTACTCTGAGTCCCACCAGAGGATGGTCTTGGGGCCTCCTTCCTGCTCCTGGAAGGAGGATGGTCCTCATAGTGGTGGGCAAGGCCCAGAGGCCAAGACAGGCAGTTTTCTAAGGGGCCACACATGCCAGGGGAAAGATTCTGTCCTTGTCACTAGGAGCATTCTCCTTGTCCCATAACAGCTCTGTGAATTTAGCCTGAGAGCCACTTTTAGGATGAAAAAATTCATCACAGGGTAAAGGGTGGTGTGAATTTGGCAATCGGGGCATCAGGAAGGCTGGGTTTCACTGTGGAGCTTCCTGCAAACCAGCCAACTGAAAGGTCTGGAAGCATTCGTGCAGCTTCTGTCACTCTCCAAGAGGTGCCGTCTGCAATGTGTGTGTGTGCAGGTGGGGGGGGGGGAGTGCACGCGTGTACATGTGTGTACATGCTTGCTTGCATGCATGTGTGTGCACATGCACTTTTGCATCTTGCTTCCCCAGGCCCCCTGGCCTCCTTCCTCTCCCCCATCTGCTCTCTCTCAGCCTGGGCCTGCTTCTCCCCTTTACTCCCTGAATCTTGCTCCCTCTAGATAGGTTCACCCATTATAATGATCCCACAGCCTTATCCTTTCCCTTCCACTCCTCCAGCTTCAGTTTATTTCATCTAAAAGCAGTTTTGTTCATTTTTTAAGAAAGCCCTGCTACTTGATTCTGCCTGCCCCCCTCCCATACCAACTTGACACACCTCTGCACCAGGGCCCTTTTCGTGTCCTCTTTGGGATCGGGAGCAGAGAGGATGTAGGTGAAGTTACAACTCTGATGTCTTCAAGGGGCACCCAATAAGGCCACTTCCTGTGCCCTTAGAATCTGACAGCCCAGAGTGCAAGTTTCCCATCCTGAAGGGACCTTGGCTAACCCTCTGCCCCGCCAGGCCCATCATCAGGACCTGTAGACCCCCACTCCCAGGAGCTGTGCTCACCCTCTGAACTTAAGGAACTGTGCTCACTTTTGTGCTGGCCTCACCCAGAGTATAAAGGACGCCTTCCTGAGAAAGTTTCCCATGGGGCTTCTTCATCCAAATAGCAAGTGGTTTCGCTTGTCCACTGTCTGCAGGTTAACTGTTCCATGATTTCCTCATTGGTGGGCCTATCTTAGAGCCAATGCCATGACACTTAAGATGCATAGACACATTCCTCTTAAACACATCTTTATTTTCTAAGTAGGCATTTGCATTTTAGAAAACTCAATTAGAAGGATGTGTTGGCAATTGCAGGTAACCTCTGGAATCAAGAAATGTGGGTAATTTCCAAAGGCCTGGAGAAACGTCTTAAATATTCTTATCCATTGCCTCCCTCTAAGGAACCCTGTAGCCTTCCACTGCTGGAACGCAGTAGACAGGAGGTCCAGCCTCTGAGGGCAGCCTTGGCTCCTACACTGGCTGACGAGAAGTGATGATCGCTACTGCTCTTGTTATGAAGCTGCTGTCATGACTGAGCACATACTATAGGCCAGTGCATGCATGTGTGCTAAGTGGCACACACTCAGTCGTGTCCAACTCTTTGCGACCCCATGGACTGTAGTCTGCCAGGCTCCTCTGTCCATGGGATTCTCCAGGCAAGAATACTGGAGCGGGTTACCATTTCCTCTTCCAGGGGAACTTCCCAACCCAGGGATTGAACCTGCGTCTCTTACATCTCCTGCATTGGCAGGCGAGTTCTTTATCACTATGGTAATAGTGATAAGTCGTGTCCAACTTAGTCGCTAAGTCATGTCCAACTCTTGGATTCTTGCGACCCCATTGACTGTAGCCTGCTAGGCTTCTCTGTCTATGGGATTCTCTAGACTACTGGAGTGGGTTGCCATTTCCTTCTCCAGGGGAATCTTCCTGACCCAGGGATCGAACCTGGGTCTCCTGCATTGCAGGCAGATTCTTTACCAACTGAGCTATGAGGGAAGCCCTTTATCCCTATATGCCAGTATTAAGCACTAAATGTGCACAAAGACCTCGCAACAACGTTCTGAGGGAGGTGTTATTATCCACACTTTACAGATGAAGAAACTGAGCCTCAGAGAAGTTAAGTAAGCTCCCAGAGTCTCGTGGCTGGTAAGAGGCAAATCCCGTTCAGCTGCAAGCCTTCTCTCTGACCATTACGCTACCCACCCAGAGACACACAGTGGAAGCCCCCCCTGAGACAACCGGCCTTCAATAGAGGAGAGTTCCAGGGAGGTTTCCCAGGGGCACGCTTGGTCCCTTATAAGGAAATCCAACATATAAGACCCCAATTCAAATTCATTACACAGAGTTTCCCACAGCCCTTCTTTAAATGGAGAGTGACCTTGGCACATGTAAAATAGGGTTCAATTTAGAAAGATGATGTTTGCTGAAGCTTTTCAGAAACAAATGAATTCCTTGAGTCAACATATCCATATACAAGTAGGTGCCCATGACCTCAGACCAGGATGGACCAGAGAACGGGAGGACTCAACTGAGAACCTAGATACACAACATACACATATGCACTTGTACCTACACGTGAGAGCACACACTCATGCATGCACACACCGTGTACACACACACAGGCTCATGCACAACCATGTAGGCTGCACATGCCTGCATGCCAGGTTCACACACACACACACACACACACACACACAACAGGGCTCTGAACAAAATCACCCTGCCTCCTAAGAGGGTATCAAAGGGATGGACCTAACTGGGACAAAAGCCGTCAGGGCAGACCCTTTTTTTCTAATATGAGTGATCTATGATGATCTTTCATTTATTTATTTTTGGCTGTGTGGCACATTGTATCTTAGTTCCCCGACCAGGAATCAAACCCACACCCCTTGCATTGGAAGATGGGAGTCTTAACCACTCGACCTCCAGGGAAGTCCCAGACCCCTTAAAAAATGAACCCTCAAAGAGAAGGAAATGGGTTCCCCTGTCCATTATATAGATGCATTCTGGGCTCAGAATTAGTATCATCCATCTGCACTTCCTCCCACCTCTGGCTCTCAGCCCTACTGACCCCCTCACACACCTGCCTCAGCCAAATACTCAGGTTCTTTGTGGGGTGGGGTGGACACTGACCCCTAATCCTGTTAAAGAGACTATCCTAATTGAGAGAATCTATTTTCCCCTCTTTTTTTTTTTTCTGTCTCTAACATTAACACATTGAATGATCCTAAAGTTTTGATGTTGTTTTTTTTTTTTTCTTGGACTAAACCATTATTTACAGGGGGAGAGGGGGAAGAAAGGCTCTAGAGGGCCTAAGGGGGATAAGGGAGACCAAGGAGCGCCTGGATTAGATGCCCCCTGTCCATTGGTATGTTTCCATCTATCACTTGGTTGTTCTCATTTTTCCTGGAGGTTTGCAAGCTGGAAACAAAGAAGGCAAATAAACTAAGATGAAAACCGAATGACTCCACTAACACTACCCAAACCCGTCTGTTCATGTGGCCGATGAAATTCTCCCTGCTGTTGGTGTTCCCCTGAAACCACAGCTGCAAGCAATTCCCGCTAAATCCCTTCCCTTTGAAGATGCTGAACAATTGATGTGTGGAAACAGAGACACCACAAGGAAAGGGATTTGGGAGCAGGCCTTGGCTCTTAGCTCTGGGGTGGCTTTGGGAGCCAGGGTAGCATTTGTGAACCACCCCCATTTGCCTTCTTTGTTTTGGGGCCACCTCTGTGGCCAGCAGTTCAAGTCATCTGAATCCCCACTTGGTCAGGATGCAGGACACCAGGGCCAGCATCTCCTGAGGGTTGTCTTTGTCCCAAATGGGGCAGAATGAGGCCAGAGAGGGGCTTTTATATACAACCTCTCAATGCCCACCAGCCATCCAGCCAAAACCTGCAAAACTGCAGACCAAGGTCAGTAGACAGACACCCCCAGGAAGCATTCCCAAACCAGCCAATGAGGAATGATTCATGGCACATCTGCGGGGCTTCTCAAATGTCCCTCAACCCACTGGAGGGCCCTAACATTATGATGCATTAAGTTGAAGCTCCTGTGTGTTGACGCCAAGTGCGTCTCTAAATAGAGAGGGGGCTGGCTGGACAGCTCAACGTTCCTGGAGCCAGAGAGAGCACAAAGGCTGAATTGGGAAGGCGGGAATCAACTGGGGTTTGCGGTTTACTTGTAGACGCCCTAAGGGTCCTGCATCCTGGCCAGGGTAGGACTGGGTCTCTCCACGCCACAGTCGGAGCTGGCCAGCCTTGACCGAAATAACCATCGTGGTTGGTTTTGTGAACAGGGACACCGAGGTTTTAAAGGAGAGAAAGGGGAGCCGGGGTTACCAGGGCTGGACGGACTGGATGCCCCGTGCCCATTGGTATGGCATCACCCTCCCTTGCCTGCATGGCCAGTATGGGCTTCCCCACGTGTGCAGTCTATGCCTGTGTGCCTCTCCAACTGCCCTCCACACTCCTGCTCCATCCATCTGGCCTCTGCTTCCCACCTCTTCACTCTGTAGGCACCGAGGGTCACCCTGCCTTGGCTGGCCCTCGGGGGCTCCCGCACACCCCCCTCTTGCATGCAAAGTCTGCCAGGAGGCTTTTTTTTTCTTCCTCTTGCAGCAGCTTCAAAAGCCCATCACCTTAATGTGAGCTGGTCCTGCCCATCCAATGCCAGCTTTAGCTGCACCGGACCCTCCTTTCAGAACTGCTTCTAGACAAACCTGCCACCAGAAAGGAAGCCAGGGAAGTAGAGTCTCTGCATTAGCTCTCAGGACTGTGACTTCTCTGCCTTTATACACTGCAGTTAGTTGGATGACCATTTGAATGAGATGCCCAAGTTGACACCACATCCCTCTCCACTCCAGCATCTCATGATTTAGCAGAGGACAGATGGACTCCCTTATAAACAGAGGGCAGAATGAGAAGTTCTAGAACCAAAGCAGAGGAGGGGGTACTCTGACTGACCTTCCAGCACAGATCCTATCCAGGTGACACTGGGATCACTGTCTAGGTGACACCCCAGTACCAAGGGATGGTCCAAAATCAGGATTCTAGATCCTAGAGGGTTCATCCTTTTTTGCTTGAATCCCAGAGGATGCTGCAAGACCCTCCCTTGGTTTCCTCTTTTTCTTTTTTTTTCCCATTTTTCAGTGGTTTGCCACCAAAAAGTCTAGAAGAACATGGAAAGGTTGGTTAAGGAAGGGAAGGGAGGAGACAGGGGGGAAGGGAGGAGACAGGGAGGAAGGGGAGACATTGAGGACACTCCCAAGCATAAGACCTGCCTAAGTGGCTACAGTTCTGGTTCCCCAGGTTCCAGTCCCTCTCCAGGCAGGGACCTTCTAGGCTTCTACAGCGATCCTTTCAGTACACTATGGGGGAAGCAGAAGATGGCCCTTCACTCCACGGCAGTTTGCTTACAAGCTTCCTGCCCCCCTAAATTTCCCGAGGAGGTTTGAAGCTCATGGAGCTATTTTCACACCAGTAATTGTCAGATGAGAATTCCCAGCCTTACATCCCCATTCCAGGGTCACAGATGAATTATCTTGGGACAGAGGAGAAAACACTGGAAGAAAAGATGCTATGTGACCCTGACAGGTGACCACAGAGCCCCTCGAAGGGACTTTCAGGGACCAGGAGAGGCAGATTAAGCTGACAGGTGGCTGCTTCCTGTCCCCCACCCAGCCTCCTGAATCCTCAGCATGCAGCATGCATCACACAGGCACCTTTCTCAGCCATGGAATCTCCCATGCCCTCCACGGCACCTCCATTGATCAACAGCCAGTCATCCCCTCTGCCACAGCCCTTTCCAGAATCCCGAAATCTGAGTTCTGCCGGCTGCAGCCCTGGCTCCTCACCCTGCTCTTCATCCACATACTGCCACTGCAACCCCTCCCTGCCTGCCCAGCCCTCCTGTCTTCCCCCTGCCACCATCCACGTGCCAATGGGAAGCCGCTGTGGCCCGCGGAGTCTCCTGTCCCTCCGAGTCCATGTGAAGTGTCGCACTGTGGTGGGCTGGGAAATGGGACCCAGGTCTTCATTGAACCCTAGGATGCACCACCGCTCCCCGCCCCTGCAGAACCTCCCCAACCCAGAAGGGACGGTGAAAGTCACCTTGATTTGACCTTTAATGCAAACTGGCATTATCTCCAATAATGTGTCATTTGTCTATTAATTTTGCTGTAGAAGTTTACATACCTTCCCTTTCTTGTTTTGCGTTGTTTGCCGTCTCCTGCATTGTGTTACTGTGGGTGTGGGGCAGTGGGCGTCTCCCATTCCAGCCCCTTGGGGGCTGACCACATGCCCGGGTCTCCTGAAACCCTATGTGCATCTCCTTCTCTGCCCTGGAACCTGAAGTTCTAGAATCTGGGCTGCAGTTCTAACAGACTCAGACTGAGAACCAGATCGTTGCCCTGGTTCAGCCTCACCCTCCCTGCCTGCTCCTCAGGGGTTTCTAGTTCCCCCCAGGGCGCACCAGAGCAGCCGGGACAGCCGGCCGAGGAGACTCAGGAGGTCCTGGGGCTTCAGGTACTCAGTGGGTGCGCCAGCAGGGGGACAAGTGGCACCTGGTGGATTCTTATCCTACCACTGCTCATCCCCCCCAAGCCCCCGGCAACACTAAGGCTGTGCTGGGAGCCCCGCCTCCTTGCTTAAGGCACCTCAGCCCCACGTTGAAAGCCTGGGAAATCAACCGTCCTCCTCCTCATTGATCACCAGATGGGAGCTGCCTGGATGTCCGCCCCCAGCTGCTAAGGAAGAGAGAGAAATCAAAGAATGAGAGAGAGGGGGGTGTTCATTCCATAGAGCTGCACCTTCCCCGGGTTTTATGGAGGAGGAAACCGAAGCCTCCAGGTGCTCAGTGACTCGCCCACGGGCACCCCACACCCGGTAAAGCCAGACTGGAGACCAGCAGGCCTCCGGGCTGTCCTCTCCACCATGCTCAGGTCGCCTCTGCTCACTGGGCCCACAGGCAATAGGACAGCCCATCTCAGCTTTGAACTGTAACTACATGTGAGCTTGGCCTGCAGGCAGACAGGCGGGCTTGCTTCCTGCCTCCTTCCGAGGCTAGGCCCTGGGGTAGAGAAGAGAACCAGACAATATCAGGTGGGCCGCACCCTGATCAGCCGACACGGTGTTTGTGGCCCTTGTTCCCCTTGTCCTGCTGCTTGTTGGGCCATCCCCGTGAGTCTGAGCCATCTGCCTTTCCTCCTCACTGCAGGGTGAAGATGGCTTGCCAGTCCAGGGCTGCTGGAACAAGGTAAGCTTTCCCGGGGTTCCAGGGCCTCAGGGCAGAGTTGTACGTGAGCTCCATTTTCTGCCGTGGGATAAAGCATGCACGGTTTCCATTCCAGGCCTTCCTGCAGATGAGGCAGCAGGACATGGGTCCAAAAAGGAACAGTCCCAAAAGCAGGGTGCCCATTAAACAATTCCACTCACTGCATGCACTTGAGAACATTTAAAAATAGTTTTTAAGGCATCAGCAAACCCAGTGTATGGAATTTCCATGTAGCCAGACAGATGACATCTTTATGCTTCATGAGGTTAATTTATACCATACTTCTTCTGCAAGGAGTTCTAAACCATGTTTCAAAATCAGTTATCATTAGCTAGTCTCATAGTGTTCATAAGAGGCCATTTAAGCCATATGATGATGTTTATCCAGATGTAGGAAATCTCTATACTTTAAGTATAAAGTCATATGGATTCTATACCTCCTCATAGAGACCTGCCAGCTCATCACTCAATCCTTCGCCTTGAACTTAAATAGTCAGAGTTTCATGCTTCTGCACATTGAGACCTGCCCACCCTCTCTTGGAGTCCCATAGTCCTACCAACAGAGAAGTTTCCTTTGTTCACGCTTGCCTTTGGCATTTGCCATCATTAAAGCCACTTGACACCACAGGGTTGTGCCCTCAGCATAGCCACCTGACTCATCCAGGGCCCCCAGTGTGCAAGGCTCCCTGGCATGACCAGGGCCATTGGTTTCCTAATCCAGAAACCCAACTTGGTCTTGGAAAAGGCAGCACCTGCCTTGCAGTCCCACCTATGGCCTCCCTTCACCTTCCTCCTGTTCAGAGACTTTTCACCAGCCCTCCACCACCACTGTCTCAAGATTTTGGTTCATTCTCATGGAGCTGGAGATCTCAAGGAGCTGGAGATCCTTACCTGTCCAAGAGTTTGCGCTTAACTAATCCAGTCCTGCCCAGTGATAGCACTCACACTTACAGCGAGATGAATCACTCCTCTGGCTAGGTGTCCACCATCTCATTAGCTCACAAGATTCGGTAAAAGCAGTGAAACCACCAAGACACCATGCTGTAGGTTGAGCATCTAGTCACCCAGGTACCTAAAACACCCCCTAGCCAGAGAGAGGGAAAGCTCTGCTTTCAAAAGAGATGCCTCCCCAGGAATCTCTGTCACTTCATCCTCTTGGTTAATTCCCCTAGAACTAGCTAAAAGCTCCAAGAAACAGGAAAGAGGTGTGTCCCCTAAGAAAAAGACTTTCTTCTTCAGGGTTGCTGTGGATGGTTAGGAGATAGAAATGATTGAGCTTAGCAGGGGAAGAAGAGCCACTCTCGAGGGGTACAATGTCTGGGAGAAGCAAGAAGCTGCTAAAGAGCCTGATGTCTGTTGATTCACATCATAAATTTATTCTGGGAAGATTCGGTAATTCAACAGCCCGGCCTCCAAAGGCTGCAAAGGGAGAAAGTGCCCTCTAGTGACCAATAAGGGGAATGACTAGAAAGAAAAGGTATTAGTTTCCCACCCTCAGGCTGCTGACACTCAGCACCAGGGTCTTGGAGGAGGGGGTTCCTGGCTCCCCCGGGTCCCCTACCCAAAGCCCTCCCCTCCAAACCAGAACAAGACCTACCTCATTTCCCACAAGGGAAATAAACACTCACAGACACTAACACCATGTCGTTTTGTTTGTTTTTGTTTTGCAGTGATGCCTCTAACCTGGGATTGGCCTGTGTGTGTGTTTGTACATAGAATATTTATTTTTATACAGTTTTCACTTTTTGAAAATGCCCAAAGTATGATGCATCTTACAGATTATTTTTTAAAAAAGGAAAACCTGCATATTTTGTACAGAAAATACCAACCTCTTCCCTTTTGTTTACAAGATGTTTTGCATACGTCTAAGACTCTAATACACTTTTCATTTGTGAGTACAGCTGTATGTTTGCATGATATTTGTGCACACTTATTAAGTATTGAAGCTTAATAAATTATTGTGTTCCAGTGCCAAAGGGGGCCAACCAGCACTTAGGTACTGGCTGGTTTGTGTGTGACTTCACAGATACAAGAGGGTCCATGGTGTTTGCTAAGCTAGGTGTGTCTCAGAATATTTTAAACTCTTATGGATTTTCACTATTAAAAAAGTGAAACATGGAAATTCTTGATCCTGATTCATCACTAAATTAAATACATTCTTTTCTTGTTAAATCAGCAAGTCCCAGAAGCAGGGGTCCTCAAAAATATAATGGTTTGAGGACTTCCCTGGTGGCCCAGGGGTTAAGACTCTGCACTTCCACTTCAGGGCACAAGGGTTTGATCCCTGGTCCAAAAAGTTCTACATGTCTTGCAGTGTGGCCAAAAAAAAGGAAGAAATATAATGGTTTGAGCCATTTTAAGTCCAACAGAGGAACGGCCAGGACTGTATTAAGCGACGTCTTTTGTAATGTACCCCACGTTCATGGGAGCTCCATGTACATGTGTAACGTTCAGTTTCGCTGAAACCCTTCAAACCCCCCGGGTTACAAAGGGCTAAGTGCTAGTACTTTTGATTTTTGGTTTGTTTTCCTTCCTTTTGAGCTACAGTCATTAATACCAGCTATTGTTGATGACGGCCATTCATTTGCTATAGATTTGCAAAGTCCACTCACAACTAGCAGCTGAAAAGTTTGCCCCAACAACTAGCAACTGAAAAGTTTGCCCCAACAGTCTTTTTGTTCCAACAAAGGACACTCGAGCAAATCTGGTTAAGATATTGGCATTCCGGGTTTTTTGTTTGTTTTTTTTAAGAAATAGAATTTTACTGCTTTCTGTACTGTTCTTAGTACACTATTTATAAAGGTCTCACTGCTTATAAATAAAACAAAGCTATTTTAATGACTAGGCGAATATTACCTATGGGGTAGCACACAGGTTTACTGTTAGGTATTACAACATAACTGGTGTTTCTTAAGGGCTTGAAAATACCAAAGTACTTAAGTAATTTAAATACCCCTCCCCATTTTGTTTACACTTTGTCTTTATATAAATATATATCCTTTCATCACAGACAGTACAAAAGCACACTGAAGCAGAGACGCTGTCTACATGTAGTCACATGAAGTTTAAGTTAGTGAGCTTCACATTCGCGGGGCCCCTGCCGCATTGTGGGGTGAGGTTGCACTCACAGACTCTTGTCTTCATAGGACCACATGCTGCCCAAACCCCAGGGACCTTACTGGTGCTCTTAGCAAATGTCCACTCAGATAATTTGGAAGTCAGACACCTTCCTCCCCTGGGTCTTGGCTTCCTTGTTTGAAAAGTGAAGCAGCTGAATTAGAGCTGCTCTCTGTGGTCATCTGTCCCCTCACCAGGCAGCAGAGCATGAGGGCCCCAGGCCCCAGCTGCTAGCTGGCACAAGTTACTTTTCCTACCGAGGGGGTCCCAGGATGCCGCACTTCCCTGATAATGCCTAAGCCCACTCCCCAGACCCCACCCAGAGCCAGCTGCTCCACCAGGCACAGTGAACACAAGCCTGGGCCTTTGGGGGGCTTTCAGGGGTAAGACAATACCTTAATATTTTCATTTCTTTTAAATCCAAAAGAAAAAAATTGAGTATTTAATCATGAATCCAGCCAGGATTATATTTATCTTTCTACCAGAGCAGTCATAATATATATATTTTTTAAATTTTGTCTTGTATTGGAGTACAGCCGATGAACAGTGCTGTGATGGTCTCAGGTGGACAGCAAGGGGACCCAGCCGCACACACACAAGCTTCCACTCTCCCCCAAGCCCCCTCCCATCCGGCTGCCACGGAGCCCTGAGCACAGGTCCCTGGGCTCTGCAGTAGCACCTTGATAACTGTTTGTATTTTTCTGGAGGAAAGCGTCTGCACAGTCAAAAGGACCCAGGGCCCCTGTAGGTCACAGCACAGCTTTGTCCATCCTCTGCTCCTGGAGACATGCTGTTGTCCTGGCTCTACTGACTTGGGCTTCCTGCAATGCCACCCTCCTCACCATTTCTTTGGCTTCCTCACCCCCTCACCCGAGGTCCTAAGGAATCAGAGTGTACCCTGGCTTTTCTAGACTCACTGCCTCATTCTATTTCAGGGTCTCACTGGAGCAATCAGAACCCACTAATGATTTTGAAATAGGGCCAAACATGCCCTGGAAAGTTCCAGAAGTTGAAATACTGTGTTAGCTGAACACCCTGAAAAGCTCTGGGCAAACCCAAACCTTACTTTGCTTCCATCCTCATCTTTGTTCATTTACTTCTTGCTGTGCTGAGTCGCTCAGTCGTGTGCGATCTTTGCAACCCCATAGACTGTAGCCTTGGAGAAGGAAATGGCAACCCACTCCAGTGTTCTTGCCAGGAGAATCCTAGGGACGGAGGAGCCTGGTGGGCTGCCGTCTATGGGGTCTCACAGAGTCAGACACGACTGAAGCGACTTAGCAGCAGCAGCAGACTGCAGCCTGCCAGGCCCCTCTGTCCATGGGATTCTCCAGACAAGAAGTCTGGAGTGGGTTGCCATGCCCTTCTCCAGGGGATCTTCCCGACCCAGGGCTCAAACCCAGGTCTCCCGCACTGCAGGCGGATTCTTTACTGACTGAGCCACCGGGGAAGCCCTCATTTACTTTGTGAAATGAAGTCGCTCAGTCGTGTCCAACTCTGCGACCCCATGGACTGTAGCCTACCAGGCTCCTCAGTCCATGGGATCTTCCAGGCAAGAGTACTGGAGTAGGTTGCCATTGCCTTCTCCAGGGGATCTTCCCGACCCAGGGATCGAACCCAGGTCTCCCACATTGTGGGCAGACGCTTTACCGTCTGAGCTACCAGGGAAGCCCCACCTCAGCTAATATCACAAAGGAGTCAAAGTCACTGGCAAGAATATAAATAATAAAATAGAGAGATGTGTAAAGAAAAATTTATAAGTCAGAGTCAAGGAAAACAAGTCAGAGGCGGGGCAGGAGAGCCCGGGAGAGGCAGGGAAGAACCTCTCAAGTTTCGCCTCCAGGGGCTTGGTGGTCAGAGAGAAAAAAAACCATCAGCCTGGTTTCAGTGTCCACGCTGCCCTCCCCTGGGGGGAAGTTCATCGAGTACCATGTACACACATCATCGCCCGCAAAGTTTGGCACATCCTTAGCCAAGACAGCCTCCCCGGCACAGGGCTGCAGGCCAGGCTCCACACACCCCTGACTTGAGGGTGCCCCGGGCCTCTTCGCTGCTGCTGCTAAGTCGCTTCAGTCGTGTCCGACTCTGTGCGACCCCGTAGACGGAGTGGGTTGCCATTTCCTTCTCCAATGCATGAAAGTGAAGAGTGAAAATGAAGTCACTCAGTCGTGTCCGACTCTTCGTGACCCCATGGACTGCAGCCTACCAGGCTCCTCTGTCCATGGGATTTTCCAGGCAAGAGTACTGGAGTGGGGTGCCATTGCCTTCTCCACCGGGCCTCTTTACTTGGACCTTAACCCAACTCAACTCCATGTCAGAAGCATGGAAACAAATAGTCAAGGAGTAGCTGCGGCAGTGGGGTGGGAGATGGGCGGTGGCCTCCTGGTGACTCCGTAGTAAAAGAATCCACCAGCCAATGCAGGAGACAAGGGTTCTATCCCTGATCTGGACAGACCTCCCAAGCCACAGAGCAACTAAGCCCATGCGCCACAACTATTGATCCTGTGCTTGAGAGCCTGGGAGTCACAACTCCTGGAGAGTAGTCCCTGCCTTCCACAACTAGAAAAAAGCCCTCGCAGCAATGAAGACCCAGCACAGTCACAAATAAATAAATAAGAGCAGTAGCAGGGCCTCCACACTCACGCTGGCAGGCAGGAGCACAGGAAGAGGCAGGAGCTCTAGGAACGAGGCAGGTGTCTTACAGGAGAGATGGACCAGGGAGGGCCACGCAAGGGGCTGGTGGACTCAGGGAGGTTAGAGATGCTCACGCTGGTCCTGGGGCCTTGCAGCCCCCCTTGTGAGAGCCGTCTGCTCAAGGAGTGACTGGGGCACCAACCCTGACCAACGGGGCAGATCGCAGCACTGTTGGTGACCTTCTCTGTGACCTGCAGGGAGCTGCTCTGGAGAAGCACCTTCTCTAGTTTGCTCCTTTCCCCGTGCTCTGGCACCAAATGCACCTGGTGGCAAGCACTGTCTGCCTGGAGAGTTGCAAACACCCAGCTAGACAAAAGACTGAGTCAGCCCCATCCTGAGCGACAGGATAACAGGTCCTCTAGGTCCAAGTAAGGATTCTCACCAAGGTCAGCCACTGTACCTGTGCAGTCACGGGGCCAAAGGAAGCCCCATCTCGCTCAGGAGACAGCCCCTTCCACACACCCCACCCCATGGCCTCATCAGCGCCTCCCACACACCCCATGGCCCCATCACCACCTTCCACACACCCCATGGCCCCATAACAGCCTCTCACATGTCCCATGGCCCCATCACAGCCTCCCACACATCCCATGGCCCCATCACTACCTTCCACATGCCCCATAGCCCCATCACCACCTCCCACACACCCCATGGCCCCATCACCACCTCCCACATGCCCCATGGCCCCATCACCACCTCCCACATGCCCCATGGCCCCATCACCACCTTCCACATGCCCCATGGCCCCATCACATCCTCTCACATGTCCCATGGCCCCATCACCACCTCCCACACACCCCATGGCCCCATCACCACCTTCCACATGCCCCATGGCCCCATCACAGCCTCCCACATGCCCATGGCCCCATCACCACCTCCCTTGGTGCTTCCTCCCCACCTGGTCTCCCTTCCCGGGATCCCAGCTTCACCTGGCAGAATGAAAAGCCACAGACGTGGGGAGGGTCAGCGTCAGCTGAGACGGGGGCCGGCACTGGCCAGGAGTCCGGAGCCTCAGCTCCCAGCCCTTCCTCCACCGCTCAGTTTCCCCAGGTATCAATGACAGGTGACCTCTGACATCTTGAAACCCCCTGATTCCACTGACTGGTCGGCTCCTGGGAGGACTGGGACACTGGAGCATGCCGTGCCCCTCAACCTAGAGTCGTTTTCAGCTGTGACAGTTTTGTGCATGGAGCTGGCATTGCAAATCCATGTGCCGCATGCATGTGCTTCGTAACCCTGAGTGACCAGACTCCTGGACATGCCCTGGGGAGTGGGTGAGCGGGGTCGGCTTTCCTGGGGCAGCGGTGGCTGCAG